ACAGTCTCCCGCAATCATTAAAATCACAGCAAAATTTCAACACTTTTAAGACATTGCTTAAAACTTACTATTTTAGAGAAGCTTTTAATTTATAATTTCTTTTTAGTGTTTCATAATGTATACATCTTTGCATTTAAATAGGTAACATAGTGATTTCGTATTCAATTTTAATGTGTAATGCGCATTTGATCATATCCTCCTGTATGTTAATTTGCGCTATATAAATATTAAATATTATCATTATTATTAAGGGAGTTATCCTTATCGCCCATAAGTCTCTTGTGGCGCTGATTTTTCAATTGCAACCCCTGCTTAGTTAAATCTGAGTGACCATCATCAACATTACATCACGCTCCGAGGACATTTTCTTGCCAATAACTCACTTCACGTGCCCTGTTAAGGTGAATTGTCCGAAAAAATAAAAACCTACGAAATTTTTTAACCTTTCTTAAATGTTCCCTGCCTATTTCTGTTACGAAAAATTCAATTAAAAAGATAGGTCACTGTGCTTGTTTAAGAGATATGATGGGCCAAACCTACCCCATTTATACCTGTACTGGCACTTATCACGCGCGTCATTTCATCGGTTCAAGTTATACTTTGTGGTGGCTGGAAGCAAGGGTTTGCTACAGTAACACTTGAAGTGAACTCAACAGGTGGAAAATATCAAGCCCATGGAACAATTTGATGTAAATACATGATCATTTGCTGCCAAATGACTCTTTTGATACATAGAGAATAATTCATGGGCGCGCGTAGATATGGAATTTCTCTTCGAGTGTTTTACTCGATAGCTCACGAGTGAGCGCAGCGAACGAGTGAGATGTCGAGTTGAACACGAGAAGACAAATTCCATATCTACAAGAAACCCTGTATTATTTTGTTTTTCATATAAACACAATAGCCCTTTACTGACAAGAAAAGCCGACATCATTAATGAATGAAAGTAAATGACTCGACAATCCCTGAATAACAATCGTAGAGCGTTGGCGCTAACTCTTAAGATAGAAAAATGCGTTGAATCATGATTAGAAAAACAACAATGGTCGTAATTTTCAATTTGCAAAATTCTCATTGATTGACTTTTTCCTTACCGACAGAAGAAGTCTTTCAGGTAAACGTCCAAAATCGGCCAATGGAAAACCTTCAAGTTGTCGATTTTCATTCTCAGCCGAGAGAAATGCCGCTGAATATGTAACTTTCGGTTTTTCTTTTAGTATATTGGTTTCCTTCCCCTGATAAGAAAGTTTGAACCTCACAGTCTGTCACCGATACACCGATTTTAAGTTTTTAAGCCGCCATAATTCGAGAAAGCTCCGACAAACAACTTGTATTGAAAATTGTGAAAATTTTGCCGTCATTCATCAACCTGACCGAGTGGCGCCAAAGGCGAGTGACGTGTCAGCAATTCATTGGCTGTATCAACACTTTTTTCATGTGTGTTGTTACGGCTTTTTTCAGAGCCGGAAATCCCTGTATAACACCGTAGTTTATGTGATAAAGAGATTATATCCAGATTGTAATGTATTGACCATTAACTTACATATCAGTGAGAGAACTTCATGGTCCCAAAAAATACAATTGACTATGTGGTGAGGGCACTGGAATTGTAAACTAGACAGTGTTGAAGGAAACGAGCCAAACGAGCCGGCTCGTTTAGTAAACGCTTAAAATGTCCCTGTGTTTTTTAGTTTAGCCCAATATTTTTTGAAAGAGAGCTCGACAGCCACTTTCTAGATGAATCCGCCGATTCTAGGGTTACCTGAGGTAAAACCCCTCTAAGATTGTTTCTAATAAATATGGTAGGTTATAAAAAAATGTAACATTTACCAATAGAAGAACGATGCAAGCTAAATCTCTACACTGACAGGCTCATATTGTGAAGTCATACAGGTACTCTCGAGCTAAAATCCAAATTGAGGGGAAATTTCAAATGTTTCTGTACATTGCGGAGTTACATTACAAATGCAATTCTGTAAACGAAATGCCTCTATGGATATTAACTCTTCATCACATACTTTCGGGGCTCCGTTATAACTAAGAGGTGGGAATTATGCTTCTCCGTCATCGCGTAATATTTCACTCAATTATGCAGAAACAGCCATCGATTCTGCTTTAAATACGCTTGGCTATGTTCCCTCACTTGTTAATTACACGGTCGCTTGTCCAGTTCAAAACAAGGAAAACAAAAACACAACGAAAACATGTTCAGATCGTTGGCTTCCTTCTTGCCCAGTCTCCCTTCTTCAGAAGTTCCAAATGAGACACCGCACCTGGGGGAAGTGGATCGGATAACTTTTTCAATCTTTTTGAGGGTGGGGGAGAGAACCACACGGCTTTCGGTGAGAATAGAAGGGTACTTAAGAGGAGTCAAAGAGATATAAGAGGCCGTGTGTTTGACTCTTGAAAACTATTGACACTCATCAATCAGACGAGATTGTAGCAACGGTCAATGACATCAATTTATGACATCAATGCACGCAAAAAAGTCAGAGAAAGAGAATGTGTTTCAGACCAAACAATTATCGCACAAAAATAACCTTGCAATCACTGGCCACAAGGCTAGCTTCGCTTGGCCTAAAGAAATACAACACAACAACTTGAATGCGTCCAAATTACTTTTATTCTTATAATTATGAACAAAGACTACAATGATTTACAGACGAGGATCTATCTGGCGATTCGTAGCTAGTTCTTCTTACAGGACAGCCTTAAAACCCTCGATTAAAAACTAAACAGAAAAACATGGCGTGGGAAACTGCGCCCTAGGCATAGTAGGGACCTTTAGCAGTAAAGACGGCAACGCGAAGGATGACGTCGATTTAAAAATAAATTTATATTTTTTGTTGGAATCTCGCGAGTAATGGGTGTGTTTACTATCTCT